ATGACGCGCGCCTTCAGCCGCACCTTCAGCATGTTGGGCTCCGACGCTGTTAGTGCACGCGCATGCGGTTACTGCTGCACCACGCGACCACACAACACCCTCGCATACCGAGTCTTATATTGATCTTTATTTTTTTTTAATGAATTACTAATTGATAATGCGAAGGTGGCTATAGCGGTGACTATAATGGCGACATTGGCGGGGTGGTCGCGGGCCGCGCGGCGCACACACTCACACGTGGTTACGTCATCACACACATTACATAACTCCATTACGTTTTAGTATTTCGTAAGTTTGGATGCAGTTTAAAAAATATGTATACAAAGAGTTTCTTTTTCGAATAGATCGTATGAAAGTGATGTATCTGAATATTGTACTATACTTTGTATGCGTCAATACTAATTTCTTGTTGTTCTGATTAATCGATAACATATTACATTATCAAGAGATTTCTAGTTAAAATAGTAAAGATAATTACGTGTATGAAGAATAAATTTGATAATAGTTAGTTTGGTATTATGTCAAGTAGGGCACAAACAGCACACAACAAAAACACATTAGCGTGTAGTGCGCAGCGTGGGGCGCGCTCCACTCACCGGTCTTCCGCAGCGGGTAGTCCGCGGGCGAGGGCTGCGGGGCGGCCGCGTTCAGCGCCAGCGCAGGCGGCGCCGCCAGCCGGTACGGGTGCGCCGTCGCGCCCGTCGACGTTATTGATTCTCCAGACGATGACTTTACTATACCCCTAGTAGGTAACTAGGAATTAATGAGCATTCTAAAGACAAAGAGACAAATATAGGCAAGTGGCGATGATAATATAGCCACCGGAAACGTTGGGACGATGGGTGCGGTGATGGCGTCAGGAAAACTTACCAATTTCTATAAGGTGAACCAGGTACTGTTCCATTGGCATTCGCTGCTGCTTTCTTCTTAAGAAACTCCTGAAATAAAACAATGATTGACTTTTAGCTAAAAGTTAAGAAGCTTCTGGTGCGTTTTTTTTATCAAAGGTAATAAGAGTCATGCAGAGCGCGCTGTATTGGGAACACTGCTCACCTGCAGCTTCTGTTTGACTTGGGTGGAGGCGTTAGCACTGTGCTCGTGCTTGTCCTTTTTGCGCAGCAGCTCGCCGCGCTCGTGCCGCTCGCGCGCCTCCCGGGCCTCCCGAGCCTCGCGCGCCTCGCGCAGCGCTGCCTCTTCCATCGCCTTCTGCTGCTCCCACAGCTGCGACAACAGGTACACACTCGTTACTTATTTACATATCATAAATTCTTGAACATCGAATTTATCTAGATGTACGAGTATCTAGGTATCAGTGTGTCGTATTTCGTATTGCTCTTACTTTGAACAATTCTATAGTTTACTTTGCCCTGCCGAATTTGATAGTTCGTCCATAAGTATATCTGTTCCACGAAAGTTGGTAAGCAAAGTTAGTGAACACAAAGTACGTCAGCGAACAGGTGGTGTGGTCTCGCCGCATACCGGGCGCTGCGTCACCGTCGCATACCATAACCAGTTACTGGACTCTCTCCTCACAAACTGCGCATTCGCATGCTTTTCTGCATATTTTCGCGGCATGAGTCACGGCCGCGACATGTTCACGAAGCTGGTACATTGCCGCTATCCAACCTTGTCATTTAATGGAGTACTTATTGCGCAGCTTCGTCATCTAATTACATTCCTCACGTGAGTCACAGTTTTAAATAAATCATCAAATGTGACAATAATGTGATTTGATTTTGTTATACAATTGGGAATCAAATTGAAAAGAAAACAGCTATAGCTTCTTGTTTTCATTAGTAATAGTTATTATTTCACAGTACACGGCGAATGTGCGTAAATTGTTTGATTAATCCAAATATGTGCATTAGGCACAGGACGGTGGCGCGAAGTTCGGGGCGAGGGAGGGGGGGAGCGAGAGGTCGCGCAGGTTAATCTAGACTAGATCGCGGCCGTCCCTATAAATAGCCAGCGCTATTGTGTAACTTCATTAAGCGAGAATAATATGCATCACATGTACACTTCGTATTATGGACTTTGCAAAAGGTATTGTATGAGTGTGATCATAAAATGAGCAAAACGAAACGTAAAAGTTAGTGGATTACAAGATTTGTGATGTTACCTTGAGGTGATGCCTGAGCTGCTGCTCGTGTTGCTCGGCCAGCTGCTGCCGCTGCTGCTGGAAATGCTGCAGCAGTATCTCCTGCTGCAGCTGCTGCTGCTTCTTCAGCTGCAACACCACGTGCATTACGCACACTGACCTATACCACTGCTCCACAAACCAGTTAGTGTGAAGGCGATTACTGCCGCACTGAGACTCTTCTGATGGTCTCATTTGATGTAGAAAAACGTTCATTAAGGGTTTCCCTTAGAGGTCAATTAATGGCTGAGTGCGGCAGTTAACTGAGACCTCTTTCCCATTAAGAGACTAGCCCGCTGTTCCTGGCGTTGACACGTCAGCTTCTAGATATGACAAGACGAGTAAACAGGCTGGTCGCTTAATGTAAATAGGCCTTCCGTTTTTTTATTTAATTAGTCTGACTGTTAAAATGTACAAACAATTATAATTAAAACAATTAAAGATAGAAACTATTTTTAATTATATTACGCAGAACTATACAATATCACAGATAAGTCCTGTCAATTAAATGTTAATTTATCTATATATGGTATGTAAGAAATGTATCTAATTGTAAACTTGAGCAGTGTTCATGAGTACGGTATCGCTCACACGCAGCTCTCGTGGTCAATTATTTAACAAACCTTATCGAAAGATATACGTAAATGTGTATTATTAGATCATGTCTCATGTCTGTCTGTGTATTGCTTACATATTAACATTTTAATGAAGGATTGATTGCTACAGTTGTAAATGTCATTGCACCATATGGCACAAATAAATATAATTCAACAAATAAACAAACAGGCGAGTGACGTCAGACCTCTATAAAGTCTCTTAATTACTATGAACATATTGACAGAGACGAATCTGAACATATGCAAGTGTCTGGAACAAGAATTATTTAAATGGAGATTATCGCGGCGGGGTCGTTCATAAAGATCAACTTGACCCACTGCCGCAAACTGACAAATGTAACAGCAAAGTATGACGTAAAAATGTCAATAATAACTGATATTGTTTAAGTACAAATTGACCTTTGTCTAGTTATTGATAAGTCACCAATTTGGGGCCGCACGGACACGGTCAGTGCTAATCTAAAATTAACACACCACGTATATTCAACACCAAATTTAAATAGCACACAGCGATTATTATGCTTTGGAAAGCAGCGTCGCGCGTTACATTCAACCGACACCATACGAATGAGAGTTATTACCAACTTTAGTTACCATAAAAAAATTAGAAACATTGTTATTGAAGTATTGTGCCATTTATAACAGAACTACGAAACTATCGAATTATTAGTAATATTTATTTGATTACAAAATACTACTATTTAAAGGGATTTCAAAACAATTAACTTTGTCTAAATACGCTTTAGTGTCACTACACCACACTCGTAAACACGTCTATGTATTTAATAACCAATTAAGCTATAACTATTTGAGGAAAAACTGATATGTTTACAAATGACTATATATAAACATGTTATTCTATTTTGAGCACATGGTTGTTGTCGCTGAAGGCAAATTTATTGCCAGTCGTGGCATTAATATAATGGACATGGACTTGATGCCTTCACAATGGCAAAGTTTTGAAAAAGAAATAGTAAAAAACCAAAACTTTGGCGACTGGACGAAAATAAATCAATAATAATATTAAAATTATAAATAATGGCTCATATAATACAATAACAGCGTATGCGGAGGCGTCGGTTGAAGGCGGCAGCGCGCGCTGGCCACACAGAACGAATAGGTAATGGTCCACTCACTTGCAACAGGAAATTATTCTCTAAGCTTTGTTTTGCTCTCTCCGCTATATGGTTCTTTCTCGGGCTCTGACTCTGACAAGGAGAGGGTACACATGTATGACAGCACTCGACGCAACATTGGCGTGCGCGTGCGCGTGCGCGTGCGCGTGCTCCACTAACACACACGCCCACGCTCTGCCATGTGCGATTCTCATAAGAACACATTCCATCGTGCCGATGGGACAATGCATGCCTTAGCGGGTACGACTCGGATAAATTTAGAACGGAATGTGCTTTTGTGACAGTACGTTTACCCGCAATGAAGTCGTCGCTCAATCTCAGTTCGTGACATCAACATTATCTAAATATTGGAGCGCGTGCGTTCCACAAAATAATTTTATTACAACAACGGCAACGATGATGCGCAGGGTGTGGGGGAGGTCGGGGGGAGGCGTCTCCGTATATTTCTGGCGCGTTCATTATTTTGGTGGGATGTAAAAAAAATGGCGAGCGTCGGAATGCGCACGGGGGACTCGGGCGGCGGGCAGCGGGCTGAGGGCGGCAGCAGCACAAAGCGCGTGGGAGCGCCGCGTGTCGCGCGCGGTTTTATTCGTGGCGGACATTCAGCATCAAAGCGTTAATGGCTTATTAACAGTCCTGCTATAATAATGATTCACGAATATATTGCGAAACTCGTCGACCGTTACGATTCGCGCGCTATAGCAGCAGTCGGAGAAGCCTCGCTTGAGTAAAAAAGACGCACTATTTATATATTTCTGAATCTCTCTGCAGCACTGGGGTCATATGAATATTCACGTTTACGTACCTACATATTGTGTTTCATTCATGATTATGAATGTGGGCAGTAGCTATATAAATTAAATACATACAAGTCTGTACAAAACCAGCGATAAGAATAAACTAACAAGCTTTGGAGCGGATCCAAGTTCGCTAAAACAACACAAAACCTAGTAGGTTTTGCAACACAAACATAATAGTTTTCTATATCAACCAATGTATGTACAAGATATACACAGCAGTCATCACGACGTCCTATACTAACGTGAACATATTTCTGGGTCTACAGCTATTAGCAGCTGCTGGTAAGAAACGCTATAGCATGAAAAGCCGAACACATTTTGAAGCATTTTGTTATGCATCAAAACGCAATATTGTCCTTAACTATGTACATATAATCACAAAACGTTATTCAACCCGCTCATCTCAGTGGAATCTAGTTATATTTTAGCTATTGCATAAAGCGATACGTATCGAGTTAATCTAAAGACTTTTGACGATGTTTTATCCAGTGAACGCGCAAATGCCTCGTTCGCTAATTTTTCGATATACGGACATCTGATACAACGTCGCACGCGGTCTGCGATGCTGCAGCAAGGCAAGGGGCCGCATCGTCCTGCTATATTTACCCGGCCCTGTTGTACGCATGTAAATATAGTTGTATGCAGACGGATGAGCCGAGCCGTTTCTTTTTATTATAGCGTATATTTTTAACGCACACGAGATTTTATAAATACTCGAGTTTAAAAATGTGTCGGGCGGAGAGGCGCGCGCGCCGCCGCGGCGAAAGGTCACGGGTGGCCGGAGGCGCGCGCACGCGCGGATGTAAACAGTGCCGGTGGAAATCATCTCGCTTATAGGAATTGTACTTATGACTAAAATTATATTGAACAACATTATCATAATACCAGTTCGAATGACGCATATATTAGGTATGTATATGTACGTTTTGATTTTGTTAAACATTAAAATTATTCCGATAAGCTTTGGGTTCAAGCCAATAAAAAAGTAAAACACTGTAACTTAATAATGCCAGATTACGGAGACGTCCGGTGACACCCATCGTTTGTATAGACTAAGTTTAATAAACAAAGACAACTATTCCGTGTTATGAATAGTAAATAGGTATAGAGGAGAAGGGGAAGTGGATGGTACCTGCATGATCTGGTGGTGGAAGGTGGTGTCGTGCGGCAGGCGCGGCGCGTGCGGCGGCGAGGCGGCGTGCGGGGAGGCCGCGCCCGCCCCGCCGCCCGCACCCCCGCCGCCGCCCCCAACGCCGCCGCTCTCGTGCGCCATTTCTGGAAACACATTTCTTTATAAAGGTTTGCAATGCCTCAAATGTCTACGAGTATATAATCTTAGAACTGCAGCAAGGAGCAGAATCTATTTCATTTGAATATGCAAATAAGAAATTTTTACATTTAACGTACAAGTCATAAGGTAAATGAATTACATTTTAAAGTGATGGTTATCAGATGTTAAGTGCGAAGGTTTATTATTTAAGGCCAGGGATGGGGCTGCGTGCGGCGCGAGCCCGGCCGCCCCGGCCAATGTGACCTACATCGCGCGATGCAGTGTGGGGAGGGGCAGGCGCAAGGGGAGGCGGCAGGGTAGTCGCAATCAAGTTTATTTTTAGCCCTGACTATATTTAGAAAGACTCCAGCGGCCCGGGACACGAGGGTCCCTCGGTAGCTGCCTTTATAACTAAGGCTTACCTACCCTATACATTTAACGAAGGATCTAAGAGTAAATATTGTTGCGAATTAAATTTAGTAGGAAAAGTATAGTCCTAACAAAAAAGACGAGGTTAAGGCATTACAAAAAATCTAAATTTGTTAAAATTCAATGGAACTGTGACATAATATGTGTAAATAGGTTACGTCCTTAGTTTTAACTACCCGCATCCTGTCGCTATCGGGCTAGACCGAGTCGTTTGCCTACAACTGGTCATTTGATAGGTGACTTCAGACAGTCGTAAACACTGTATGGTATTGTGTTTATAGACTTAATTCGTCAATGCTAGTTCATAACATAGGCCATTTTCAATCAAAGCAGCTTCAATATTATGAAATTACTATAATTATATAAGAAATGGAAAGTAACTTAATTATTGTCGTCGTTTTGCAAAATTGCTCAAAACAAACTTCAACAAGCTCTTGATTACGTAGTCGTCTACGAGGCAAGCCGTAACCCGCCTACGCGCCGGGAGCGCTACGCGAGCCAAGCCTACGCCGCCTACAACGCGGTCTACGTCTACGATGTAATGTGGCCCGATACCCACCCCACTTCGGTCGTAGTAGTATTGTGTTTTTAAAATCATTTTAAAATTTGCAAGAACAATAATGTAAATTCATTTTGATTCCCTATATCTTTTTAATGGTAGGAATTCATATTGTGCAAGTATAATAGATAGAATTTAAATAATTGTAGTAATCAACAGCTGCTCATAGCGAGACAAACATGCCGCTATGTTGTAACTATTTCCAGATGTTTAATTAAACAAAATCATCATGTAAGTTTAATTTTTCCACTTACAAAACCATTTGCAATTTGTGACATGATAACGTTCACTCTAGATGCTATGAAATAGTGGAATTCAAACCTGTAGCGTGTGTGTGGTTTCATCCGCAATACAAAAATGTATATCATAATTAATTTCTCTGATCATGTTGTTCTTGTCTCGTATTTGTTGTCATTGATAAGCGTCGAGCTCATCAAAACATCTGCAACTTTTATTTGCCGCATGCGTACAAATGGAAAAGCTTTTGCAAACGCAAACAAAGCTCCCGCTCCTGTTGCCCACGCAACGTCACGTTTATAAATAGAAAGCGAAACGCGACAAGTGAAGGACGCACCGTGCCCGCGCCCGCCACTCGTCTCGCTCGCACTCGGCGCTTGACCCACTCGTGCGAGGAAGAAGGAAAACGGAGCGAATAACGAGAATCTAAAAATAGAAGACGCACGCGAACCACGCAACGTGCCTCTATCGAATTGTTACCAACAAATAAACACGGCGCTTTTTCAATCTGCGCAAATAATGATTTGATAACGGTCTTGTTAAAGAGGAAAGAGGAAAATATTTAGAATATAAAAGGTGTTGAAATAACCGTTCAAATCTCTGTACCAATTTAAGACAATTCCGATAGCGTTGCGTTGCCTGTTTGTAATCTCATTTGAGAATGCGCTTTTATTAATTCTCATCAAAAACTCGATTGAAAAGCTTGAAAATGATTTTAGAGTTCGACAAAACACGTCATAATGTAGTAAAGAGATCGTTGATATGATGCGGTTACTGACTGCAAAACAAGGCCTTATAAAAACTTTCAATACCTATATGTATAAGTGTAAGTGATACTTAAAACACTCCGTGAAATAACTTTAACGCCAACATTTGCAGCTGTTCTTTTTATTTAATAGTGGTGTCTAAAACAGAGATACTCTTATATGTATATTTGAATTGCACGAAGCTGCCTCATTCCATGAGTTTGTATTACATATGAATACATAATTACAGATACGTCATACAGACAACAACAAAAAAGTCGTCAGCCTTTAAAACAAACACGGAACATTAAATCTTGAATTTGAATATAAAACTGGAAGTCAAAACACGTAAGTAATCAACTTAATATTCTTTAATGAAGTACTTTTTTTTATTCACACGTGTTTTTTTTCTAAGAGGCGTGAGAGGATTACTTTAGCTGCTAGAAGATATAATGTATTTAGTTAACATTTGCCACAGTTTGAAGTCGACATCGACCAGCTCCACTAAGAATTAAGGTTAACGGTACTGCGTCTTCTCTAGGAATTGTGTATGACAAGAATTATGATTACAAACAGAATTAAAGCATAATTAAAAAAATGCCTTTGTCTGTAATTTATTACAAATATGCCAACTATTGAAGATATACCGGACAACATTTTCTAAAGTTAATTCAAAAGGGATAACAGTCATGTATTTAGTGGGAAACCTCCACGATCAAAGCTTAAAATAGTTGTCCATAAAAGCGGACTCCTGCCTCTGCCGCTCCAGATTCCCAGCGGCGCTATTTCCGTCCGGCAGTAAACACGCCGTCGCGCCGCTGCCTGTTGCTCGCAGGCTATTTGCGACCAGCTAAATGCAGCAACCACCGGAAAGATCGCCGCTTTTGGAACTATATTTATACAATACTTTTTGTCCTGTTTCAATCTGTAGCATAAATATGCATCTACCGATCACCTTCTTATTACATCGTATTTAGGGATCAAGTACTGACATCTATTGAAACCAGAAGGAAGGTAATCGTACACATAATTTCTCCGCTAGCAAGACGATCGAAACTTATACAAGAGAACGCCGAGATGTCAATAATCAGAAAACAGTGATTAGTCCATTACAGCGTTATTAAATTATTTCATTTCTAATGACTTGATGTTCTAGTGCACTAGTTTGAGAAGAAAAATGTCAAGTTCATTTTCATTGTACACTGGGTAGGCGTCACGACGCTGACATAACGACGCCCACTGCGCGGCCGGCGTCGACAGTAGTCCGGCCACGCACGCGTCCGCTCTAAACACATAGCTGCCTGACACCGATGAACAGTAGTCTTGCCATGTACCCAAAGGACGTCATGATGTGGATTTTTCATTTTTTTATTTAAACAAAATTTTAACTAAAAACTTATTACTTTCAAATCAGCATTTCACCGATCAAAACAGCACGTAGAAAGTTTTTTTTTTTACAAATACCGGGTAATGAATTCGATTGGAAATCGTGAAATGTAAATGACATGGTATGATATTGCAATTTCACTGGATCACTCTCATCATGTTTTGGGCGCGTGCATTCCGCGAAGCCGGCGCGGCATTTCCGGTCCACTTGCGCGAACATCGCTGCCAAAACAATTTGAAAGCAATCACCGGACGTAATACTTGGAGGGGAGACGGAAGGATATTTATTTGCCAATTTTTATAATTAAAACGAACAAAACTGGTATGAGTTTTTATATTAATAACGATATACTGTCATTCATTATAAAATATCTAGTTTAACAACAATACCGTCCGAGAGACTCCCTGCGTACGTGGTTCCTCTAGTGAGTTGTGGCGCGGGCCGGCAAGCGGCAACTGTTTTGATTGTACAATGGCTGTCCTGTCTCTCTGGTCAATCAGACACTCGGACACTCAAGTATCTGTTTGGACGGGCTCAGATTGAGTGATGTACTGCGCTGTCACGATCTACCGCCTGACGCAACACTAGCGTCACAATAGCTCAATATTTAACTAACATCGTTTTGTTGCTTTTAGACAGAAAACAAATTATCTTAATACTCGCAATGTCTGTAACCAAACAGTACTTACAATTTAAACTCATGGCAAGACTACAAATCTCGAAGAACAAAATAATTTTATTTTAGTTTTATTCAGTGACTATATCAAAAATAGCCGTTTAAAAACGTGGGCATCGTTCGCAGGATCCGAAATAGGCCACCGATTAGATGAGCGCCATAACTCACGTCTAGTTGGTGCGGCGCTGCGCAGGAGTGAATCACATCTATAAATAACATGTGAGATATAATTAGCGCACCATGCAGCGAGCCGCCACAGAGCAGGCACAGAGCAGGCACCGCAAGGACCCGCTATTGATTCAGCACCAACATTCGCAAATTTGCTATTGCAAGAATCGACTAACTTTGATCTTCAGATTATAAAGTTTTAATTCACAGATTCCGTGTGTATCTCTAGTAAATCATCATAAAGTGAGGCAAACAGTTTTTGCCAGGACATAATCGTCAACAACACAAGTTATGCGTGTCCTCCTACAAACCGCGGGGCTATCGTTATCGGAGTCTGGCGATGTATAAATAGCCGGGACCTGTCACGGTGCTGCGGCAGGTCGACACTCGCTGCAGTAAGGTGCTTTGTTTTTTGTGAACCTGTCCGGGGCCGCTCCCCTCGCGACATGCTTCCAGTAAATCTCTCCCACTTCGCGCGACCACTCTATAAACAGACGGTCGCATTCCATGCCGCGTTATTTATAGAAGGGGTCTATTTCGGGATCCTAATACACTGTCTTATCTGCCGTCAACATTTTTAACTCTTTGAAATAGAGCGTATAAGAAAGAAATAATGTGAAGCAACTCGATATACTCAAAACCAACCTACGAATTAAGAATAAGTATGAAGGCATGCAAAATATTTGCTCCTGCGTACGCGCAACTTTCACAATACACGTAAGCCTTGCTCTTTTAGTGACAACGATCGGAAACACAAACAATGATTGTGTTTGAATTTTAAAAATCTTTAACGAATTCATGGA